GGGATTATCCGGACAATCGGATTGCCCCGGGCTGAACGCTTAGAGACGGGATCGATTGATCGATGCCTACTGTGGCATTATCGGCGATGGCCCGTTGGCAGCAGTGTGTTTTAGTTCTGTCATAGCGTGAGACCTCTGGCGTCCAAACACTGTTCAGACTTCTATTTTTGCTCGCGCTGCTTGTGTTAACCTAATTTTCGCAACATTTCCATAATACATTAGTACAGCACGAAGTCATTAGTTTTGCAAATTGAATAGGTAATTCTCTTTTTGCCTAATGCTCTCAGCAGTGTGCCTAAATATAGACACACAAATTTGCTCGGCGAGCATCAAGGCTCTGTTCTGTTTTTCTCACAACAAATTGTCAAGGTCACCGGTCTCGGCCACGAGTTCCTCCGTCTTCTGTTGAATAATGAATAAGGATGGATTACGTAACCTAATGAACCGGTTGATATCTTCACAAAACGGGACATGATTGTCGGCTGCACCCGACCATTCTTACATGCATTTTCAAACTTCGCTAAGTATAATGTGAGTTTTGCTTCAACTCGATTTGGCGTCTGTTTTATGTAACTCCGACTGCCCCAGTATTGATGACTGTTGTTCTCAGAAATAAGGCTTTGCGGCGAGGCAGGTTGAACACCACAAAATATACGGTTCGGGCAAGTGATGCGGGACTCCTTTCGGCTAGGAGTTCCATTAGTGGATTGGCTCAACTCGTAAAATAATGGCCATAAGCTCTGTTGGAGCTTACCTCACGCTATGACAAATGGCTTGTTCGAGCAGCTAATAACCTGACAGCCGACCTTCCCCGACTGATCCTGTCTGCTCTGCTTTCTGAAGTGGATAAAAGAGGGCCCGGTTCGCCGGAACTCTGAGTCTGAACAGCACCAGTGAGTCACGATCGCGTCGGCCGTGTTGTGTGAGCGCGGCCGCTCCGACTCGCCCCGCTGGAAGACGGCGGTGGTTCCGAGTACCGGCAGCTCCGAACAGCCGGTCGACCGGGCACTTTGTGGGTGACGCTGTGTCATAGTGTCATAGTCTGTGTCACCGTCTGTGTCAGCCTGAACAGCTGCAGATGCCGTGCCGTGTCGGCTTGGCGTTCCATTTCTTTCCGTTCCTTTCCGTGTCGTGGTGTGCCGTATTGGCTGGGCGCAGTTAGCGGCGGGGTGGTATTGCTGTAGGTGCTGTAATGCCCAGTCGTTGCATGCCGTACCGGCCGCGCCGTTGTGCGCCGAGGTGGCTGGGCGTAGTTAGTGGTTAAAAGCTGTTCCAGTGACGTTTTGCAGTGTGCACGTGACCGGCAGGCCCGTTGTCGTGCGAGTCCCCGGGGGCCGACACAGAGGTCGGCGACGAAGCCCCGCGGGTGTCTCTGCCGTGATCGTCCGGAAACCCCGCCGGTATGGCACGGAACGGCAGAGGCCGGGCCGACTGGTCGCCAGGAACGTTACACAAATACGGCGCTTCGCTTTGCTCTGCAAAGGAAACTTGTGTGGTAAAATTAGCGAATCGTTACAATGCCCAATAAAAATGTTTGTATTTGAATTGCACGTTAATTTCCATTCACACAATCAACATTTTTTCTTTCTAGTAAACCTTTTGGGTATGACTGTCACGTCAAACAAATTATTACACCGTCCCTCTGCCCATGTATGGTTTCTTCTCCGAGGCCAGTGCTGCGCGGCGGGCGGCTGCCCCTCGGAACCTCGAGTGTTTCGCGTCAGTTCTGCTGCGCCCGTGTAATGTAAACGGAGCCGTTGCGCCGGTCCGCGCGCGGCGTGATGGCCGTTTTCCTGCCGGGGCCGCCGGCCTATAGTGGATGATTCATACCACGGTGCTGCAGGCGGCGACCGATGCGGCGCGGTCTCCGTTCAGTGGCCTTTCTGACCGTGACGCGTCGTGCCGCCAGCTAGAGTGGTTTGGGCGGTCCGGTCTGCCCACGGTCGTGGGAAACGGCGTCAGTTTGCCGGCTGTTCGGACCGGGGTGACACAACTGTTCCTTTGTATATACTGCTGCGGTTTGTGTTCGCTCATGTAACCATGCTGCAACCCAGTGTTCGGGGCTGCTGCAGTTCGTTTGTCTCCCCAGCGGCTGGGATCTAGGATCGCGTGTTTGTGTCTCCCCGCCGTCGCCAATACGACCACCCTGTCATTATGTTGTTGACGCCGTCCACGCCCACGTCTTTATAACGTCACGTATGGGACTCCGGGGACACTTTTTGCCAGACGGCCGCCGCGGAAGGAAGCTGCTATCAATTCCTGATCGGCTGACGGCATGCGCTCCTCCCCGGAACTGCCATCTCCGTTCGGCGCATTCTGTGAGTTCATCGCCGTGCTGCGCGCTCCGGCGAGGTTTCTCCATTGGCGTCATCCCTGGTCCCTATCAGCTCAGAGAGAAGCCTCGTTATAGCTCGGCTGGTTCGAGGCTTCCGCTGACGCCCACTCAGTGCTCGGTACCGCAACGTCTCGGTAATCCGTGCCGCGATGACTGTCTGCGGTGAAACTAGTCCCGGGCAGTCTGTTGCTGGCCGCTCATGGCGCTCGCCGTGCATGGTATTTAGTAATCACTCTCCCCTCCACAGATGAGCAGATGAGCTGTGCGGTTTATGTGAAATAACTATGTGGACTGTGGGCTGTGTACTGTGAGAACTGTGACCCGAGTAGAGCTGATACTTCCTGTATCGCCACCAAAGCAGCCTACATGACACCCGTGCCCGGCCAACCGGCCTGCCGGGCGGTGTGCTGTTGTGTGTCGAAAGTACACGCCAGCGTCATGCCCGCAAATGTCAAATGATGCCACTCGTTTGCATAGAAAAGTCGGCCTCCAAACAGCGGGTTGATAAGGTCGGTGTCGTGCAGTAGCGAAGTCAAGGTCCCTAACGGTCGCTGGCTGTTCCGACCTGCTAGCGTGAGTTGTATTTCTCAAATCATCCACTCGATCTGGATCATGATGTCAGCTGGCAGCCCTCCATTTGGACCGTGCCAAGTCGCGCTACTATGCTAGTACGCCATCTTCTGTTTTGTTTGTGTGTCAGTGGGCCTTACCAGCGCCCTGGGGTGTTGAGGCACACGATGAAGTGATCCCGTTGACCCGGGGCGGTCGCTGGTGTGATTTGTCGGTAAAGGTCGGCGTTGGCACCGTGTGGCTGGCTGGCCATGTGGACGATGGATGGCTCGATTTACTCTGTGATATCAGTCAGCTGACCAGCCGCTCCGACAGCCCTGACAGTTGACCGCCGGTAAATCGAATACAGACTCGCCAACAGTGCGCTCCTCTCGGAATCTGAAGGATAATGCTCCTTCCGTTGACTTCGCTGGCACCTGAGTCTACCTTCCTCTCCCTGTTGCCCCTAACCGCTCACCTGTTAACATTCTGTCTCTTGGATCGCCTGTGTCGGCATAGCGGCAGCCCCGCACACCACCAAGCAAGCTGAGCTTAGTGCGTGTTCCGTCCGACCAGGAAAATCCTACCGCTTGCTGCGCACGGTCGGCCAACAGTAGGGGAGGGATGGAGGGGCGGCGACAGTGCGAAGCCTGCTGGAGCTCGGAGGTGATTCAGTGACGCTTGCGGCGCCCTGCGCGGCCGTCTTGCTGTGCCCCGTCACCCACTCGACCGACCTTGGGGTGGGGTGGGGCGCTCGGCCGCTCTGCAGTGCAGCGGGAAGGGTCGACTCGTGCTGAAGCGGGGCTGAGGGAGCCGATACGTACCACACAGACGTCGATGGCGGCGGCAACGCTAATGGATACTGCGTATGGCCGGCCCTCTCCCCAGCTCAGCGGCTAATCAGAGTGATGCCGGCGCTCCGAGCTGAACGGACAATGACTGTGCACGGCAGACACTTTCCAGTGCCACTCAGGAGTTGAACTGGGAACGGGGAAACACCGGGTTCTTAAAGAGTAACCTGTGCCACTCAGTGAGAGGACGGATGGCACAGGACCCATCCAACCCTTGTCACAACCTACCGCCTGCGACTCGATGCCATAAGCCCGCGTACATGCATACCAGTTCGGGTCACATTCGGAAGGGTGCGTTCCGGCCGCTCCTGTCGCCGCCGAGCTCCGACCGCCGGGCAGGACGGCGGGGACGGCCACCGGCGGGCCGCCCGCTGCCAGCCTCTGACTGCCGGGCGGGACGGCGGGGACGGCCACCGGCGGGCCGCCCGCTGCCAGTCTCTGACTGCCGAGTGGGACGGCGGGGATGGCAGGGAAGGTCGTCAGCGGCAGGCGACGCTCGTAACGCCGCCCGGTGCGTCCGATGCCCTCTTCGATTGCCGTAAAGCCCGACTGGCGGCTCTGGGTGGCGCGGCTGCAGCGGCCTCCGCGCCGACTAACTGGATAATTGAGTTGGCCTTTTAGCGCTGACACAGCTGCCAATGTTTGTTATGGCTGACAGCAGCCGCCGGACGGGGAGGGGCGGGGGAGTTAAAGGGCTGTCCCAGTGCAGGGTGTGTTGACCTGCCGCTGGAGGGAACTTGTTTCACGCTCCGTCTCTGCCGTGCTCATGCTCCAGTCCTTGTCACGGTCGGTGTAGCGTGGTGAAATGGCGTCTTTGCAGCTTGCGGCAGTTCGGGCAAAGTTCATGGAAAATACTCTCTTCGGTAATCAATGTTTTCATGTGTTCTAGCATTATGCGCATAGGCGTAGCCTTGCATATGGTCGGTTTAGAGAGCTACATTGTAACTTTCATTGGCTCTCTTTCATTTTTACTCTTCCGAAGCGTACAATTCCTTTCCCTTTGAAAATGGAAAATCGAGTTGTGTTTCGTACCTCATCTTGACGAAAGTTTGTCCTATCTCGCCTCGCCTGGAGTACCTACTTCTCAATGGCGATCAAAGTGTGCCAAAAATGTGCCAAAATGCAGATTCCAATTATGCCTATATAATTGAATGTACTTATTTGCCATATGCTCTGCCAACGCCAAAGTAAAATAAGGAGAAAAAACACCGAAAATGAAAATAAACGACGAGCATCTCCTATATTTGCTGTTAAACTTAAGCTCGCTGTAAACATATTTATTTGACATGATAGGGAATACTGGACTGCATTTACAATTTCTTAGTGGGGCGGATTTTCATGGTGACCGTTTTCAGGGAGTAATGATACCCCCTCCATGCGGACCAGTTGACTCCGTCGGCATAGCTGGTGTGCTTCCCGGCCAGGTACTTCCCGTTGAGATTGGAGGCGTGGCACTTGGTGTACCACCAGGCTCCGTGGAATTTCTGGGCGCAGCTGGTGCCGTACGTATCGTTGTCTCTGTCTTTGGTGGAGAACGGGTGGCCACTGTGACCGGTAAAATTGTCACCGGCGTCGCCCGTGTAGTTGACGGCGGTCAGTCGGTAGTTGTCCGCCTCGGGCGCGATAAGGAAGCCCTGGTAGATGGCGTGCCGCTTCTCGCCATCGAAATCCTCCATATCTATCCGGATCTCGTAGCGCCGGTCCAGCTGGGAGGTTAGTCCCCAGCAGTGTTCTAAAATTGGATTTTGGTTGGGTGTGACGATGATGACCCAAAAATTTAGGATGAGAAAAAAACAAGTGAAAACCTATATCACTTTCGCAATAAAGGCGTAACGCTACGCTGACTGATAATAAAAGAACATACCAAATTCCTGACCACCAAAACTAACCGAAAAAGACTATGCAAATAGGTAAGGATGATATACGGCAGAATTATAACTTTAGCATCTGATCGCCAAGTGTTTCTAAATCCGTCCCATTTTATCCCAACCTTTGTGTTTGATTGAGACTAATGAAGTGAATCACCCTTGTCTCTTATACAGCTAAGAATGAATACCTACTTCAACCAGTGAGATTTCATTTTCCTTACAAGTCAAAATGCATTGTCACAATTGAATGACTGTCCAGTGGCCATCCTTCTCCTAGCCTTAAATCAATGCCTTCCTTTCCGTTTCAGATGCAGACAGCAGATATTACCGTCAGCATCTGCTAAGTTCCTACTCATGCTTACTGGCACGGATCACGGTCCTTCTGCCTGTATATTTCTCCTAAAGAAGATCATCCGCGGACCTCCATCCTCGCGACGCCAGTCGCCATCATGCGAGCGAACTAGGTCTTTAAGAAGCAGATGATGCAATGATTCTGTTGAAATCTGTTGTCATATCTTAAGGAGGGTGGGGGAGGGGCGGGTGAGGGAGCTCTCCCTATATGCAGGCTTTGGTACTAGTGCCATGTGGAGAAGTTTTCTTTCTTTTTTAAGCAAAGGAAGTGGGAAGGAACCTGTCGTTGCCGTTGCAAAGGGTATCATTCTGTCGTCCTGTATCATTGATTTAGTGCAGTTGACTCAGACTGTGTAATGCGTGAGGCGTGGTCATCACTGTGACACTGTCAGACATAAAATCTTAGGTAATCATGATACCCTGATGGGCAGTTTGTTGACGTAACTGATCGCTATGAAACCAGAAACCGTATAACTCATGTGTTCTGGCCTCTGGGACGTTTTGCGCCTACAATATGGCAGCACCGCTTCCAAGATTACTGTATATTTGAGATAATATGCGGCAATATAAGTATGTAGTTTTCGTTCGCATCTGATCTGGTAATATTCGTACAGTGTACACAGTATAGCTTTGAGCTTTCCATTTTCAACAGATATGACAATGGCCGGATGATACTGGGAATGGTGCCTTTGCTCTGGGCACACGGAACGGGACGCAGTATTGAGTATGCAATTGCAGTCGCACTATGCAGCATGACATACGCCGGAAATCTCCCGGCCCGAACGCCGGAACGGCCAGCGATAGTCGGTACTCATTACGCATAGTGAAAATGGAAACGGTGTCAGCGCAACTCTTCGAAAGGAACGGTGCACTACATGAGACTAGACAAAGGGCCACTGATTAGGGCACCCCAAACGGAACGATGTGCACTGCACAGCATAATACGCAATATCGCAATAAAAAGCGTGCAACTAACCAGTAACCAGGGCATCCATATCGGAACGGAACGGGATGCAAAAAAAAATGATAAAAGGCTGCCACCGACCTCATGGCCGGCCACCGAAACGGAGCGGTAGCTTCGTATCATGTCACGTGATAAGTGCTGAGTGAGAGCGTCAATGATCAGTGATCAGTGATCAGAGCACCCGAAACAGAACGGAGGGCATCAGTGATCACTGATCAGAGCAACTGCAACGGAACGGAGGGCATCGCTGATCAGGACACCCCAAGCGGAAGGGAAAGCGAGAGCACAACTGACCAGAACACCCGAAACGGAACGGGAGTGAACGGAACGCATTAGCGGCTAGCCGAATCGCGATTCCGGCCAAACATGGCCTCAAGAAATAGGTCACAGGTCAAAGGTCATTTGGGTCAGGAATATGAGATTTTCAGAGTAGGTGTCAAATTAATTGACTCGAGGGTCCTGAAAGTTTCGTCGCGATCGGCCGCTTTTTACGCAAGTTATTCTCGAAAAAAACGAGGGGGTTGTTCGTTCGACCCCCCCCCCCCTATACGGGCGAGGGATAATTTATTAAAAAGCTAGGGCCTTCTTAATCCCATCTACCAGCTTCAGAACATGTATTGGGCAGATCTGGGAATACCGTATCTTAAATTTATCCCTAGAGGTGTGCCAAGGTATCCTTTCATTCATCTTGGCTTTCCATCGGCCGAACGCTTCGTGTTTAAAAACCTTTAGAAACTAATTGAAATGAATAATTGGCGGTAAGATTATTGCAAAGGCATGAGAAATTAACGTAAAATACATCATTACCGGTCTTATAACCTCATTTCGCGTATGAAACCTGCCAGAGTCCACAGAGTTTCATATTCATCCCTAGGGTGTGCCAGGGTGGCGTGTCAGTCATCTTGAACCCCTGCCCGACCCGACGCCTCGAGTTTTAAAGACATCTAAAAACTAATAACGTAAACAATTTGTGGTGAAATTGATATAATATGATCAGAAAAGAACGCAGAATAAATTAGTATCGGTCTCAAAACATTATTTTGCCTATGAAACCAGCCAGAGCCCGCGGAGTTTTAAATTCATCCCTAGGGTGTGCCCAGGGTGGCTTTTCTCATCTTGGACCTCTACCAGGCGCGACGCCTCGAGCTTTAAAGTCCACTAGAAGCCATTGACGGACATAATTTGTGGCGAAATTAATGCGATAGGATCAGAAATAAACGCAGAATAAATTGGCATCGGTCTCAAAACATTATTTTACCTATGAAACCAGCCAGAGCCTGCGGAGTTTTAAATTCATCCCTAGGGTGTGCGCAGGGTGGCTTTTCTCATCTTGGACCTCTGCCAGGCCCGACGCATCGAGCTTTAAAGTCCTCTAGAAGCCATTGACGGACATAATTTGTGGTGAAATTGATACAATAGGATCAGAAATGAATGTAGAATAAGTTGGTACCTGTCTCATACCCCTATTTTGTATATGAAAGAAGTTAGAGCCCACCAAGTTTTAAATTCATCCCTAGGGTGTGCCAGGGTGTGCCCAGCTGACTGCGGGTCCAAAGATGAAAATTTTGTAGGCGTATCCTGCGCAACTTAGTCAAAAGCGAATTGCAGAGGTAGTGTTTAATTTGCGCAAGCAGCGGCTCATCCGTTTTGCGTTGGCAGCAAACCACTAATCATAGTTGTTATGAATATCCAAAAGCATTCATTCGGAACACAAACCTGGTTTTTACAAACAGTTGAGGTGATCAAGGTCATTCAACGCATATTTGTAGGGCCTTGATATTTGTTATGAATTAAAATGAAATCGGACTTACTCCACAAGAGTTCGTTGGGTCGGAGCTTTCGAATTGTATTACAATTCTTCGTCAGCGAGAGTCGTATCGGATGTTAAGATCGAATCGATGGTACAGTGCGGATCGAACAAAATATTTTGTTCGATCCGCACTGTACCATCGATTCGATCTTAACATCCGATACGACTCTCGCTGACGAAGAATTGTAATACAATTCGAAAGCTCCGACCCAACGAACTCTTGTGGAGTAAGTCCGATTTCATTTTAATTCACAATTCATCTCCACATCATGTCTTTAAAAGCATATTTGTTATTAACAGCTGGAAGTGTGCAAGGTTATTTTCTTTCGTTGTCAGTCAGGGTGAGTTGTTGGGTTTGTGCCTTGATTTCGCATCTTTTTTTCATGGAAATTATGTATTATGTAGCAAACCTATAAGTTCTAACTATCTATATGGCGCTGCTATGGTATATCTGATAATCTGGCTGTTAATTGTTGAGCATGAGTTGAGCATTTTTCAAAGATGAAAGAATTCCAATTTACCTGGTTTTGGGGATGAAAATATTTTGCCCATTAGGTGTGATTTTCCACCCAAAATTCCGAAAAATGGAACACTGGTCCCCAGAGCCGCTCCAGACCCCACCAGAACTCGCCGTCCAGCTCGCCGAAGCCCCACTTGTAGTGGTGCCAGTCGAGGTAGAAGTTCTGTCTGGGCTGGATGTCGTCGCGCCGCTGGATGACGGTCCAGCCGCCGTCGTCCCCGTCCAGGTCACAGAGGGCGGCCACCGGCCGGTCCAGGCCCGGGTACAGGATGTGCACGCCGCTGCTGGCTCCCGCAGGCAGGTCACTGCAGTCCCTCAGCGGAGCCGCTGTCACCCTTCCCACCTGGCTCTGGAGGGCGCTCAGCTGTGCGGTGTGAGCTGCCAGACCTTCGGCGACATCAGCGAGCCCTTCGGTCAAACCGGACCCAAGTCTGGCCAGTTCAGCACTCTGTTCCGAGAGCTGAGCGCTTTGTTCCGAGAGCTGGGTACCCTGAGACGCCAGCGTTGATCGTAGCTCGACCATCTGCTCTGTGACAGTCTCATTGTGCGCAGCCAGAGCGGAGGTCTGGGCGTCCAGTCCAGCGTCCAGTCTGGACTGCAGACTGTTCAGCTGACTGGCCAACTGAGCGATCTGCTCAGTCTGTGTGAGACACTGGCTCTGTGCTTCAGAGAGTCTCTGACTCATGCCGGTGACCACCTCCCTGGAGACCGCCCTCACCGTACCGTCGAGAACGCTGCGCATGTGGTCCAGAATGCCGTCCACGGTGCCGTCCAGGCCTCCCCCTTCTGAGGCGCCTTCGTAGCCCACTGGTTCATCGAGCACCGTATCGGCCGAAGCAGTTCGGCAGATGAACAACAGAAGGACGGCAATCACCGAGCTGCCGCCCACGAAGGTCTTCATCTTGAAGATGGAGGTGAAGGCAATGTCTTCCACACAATCTGACTCTCAGACGATGACTGAGTAGCTGAAGGACCTCGGGGTGGGATTTATAAACGGCACCAGCAAAGTTTATTCGTTTGCAGGTTCAGTGACGTAGTTTGCTCTTGGCATTCCCAGGCGGACTTAAGAGTTTATTTGAGAAGCGATACGTGCTTCAGGCAAGCGTCTGGAAAGTCATAACTTGTATGTGGATTTTCCCAAAGACGTTCGTGTCAGCGTTTCGGTGTGTATGAGTATTGTTTATGCTTGGGGTTCCCGGTGATCGTGGCGCTACATTTTGTGGCCTGTTTAATGTTTATGGACAGCTAAATGCTTGTACACAAAGATAGACATGAAGAAGTCTGTCTGTAGGTCAGGGTCGTTGAGATCTGTTGGATAGCGTGTCTACCTACTCTCCAGTTTTTTTTTTGTCAAATATACTAATAAAAACTGCCAAACAATCAAATATAACGTTCTATGAATAGTTACTGCTCTTCCCAAATGTTTTACTTTTTCTTGGTCACTCAAAGTCCATTACATACATTCTTTGACGGTGCCGCTGGCTTGTGGCGTCATCTGTGCGGCTGTGCGCCATTATTCGTATTAGTGACTACCGCATATCCCGTCTGCGGCTCGCCCGCCATTGAGCTCAGTGACGTACCCAAGGGGGGGGCCACGGGGGCCATGGCCCCCTCCTGAGCGCCGAAGGCGCTCAGGGGGCCCGTCAGGCCCCGGTATATTTTTTTTTTCAAACATTGGATAAAACGTCTTTTACTAGGAAGAAAAATGATATCAAAGTTTCATTTGTGTGCCCCTGGTTACCCGAGGGGCCCCTGATGACCCGATGGGCCCCTGCAGTCATCCGAGGGCCCCCGGTTTCCTCGGCCCCTGGTCGCCTAGGGGGCCCCTGGTAGCCGGGGCCTGGTCGCCCTGATTGCCTAGGGGGCCCTGGTAGCCGGGGGGCCTGGTCGCATGGGGCCCCTGATCGCCTGGGCTCCTAGTCGCTAAGGGGCCCCTGGTAGCGGGGGCCAGGTCGCATGGGGGCCCTTGGTTGCCTGGGACCCCTGAGGGCCCCTGGTTGCCTGGGGGCCCCTGTTCGCCTGGGCGGCCTGGGGGCCCCCGGGTGACCTAAGGGCCCCTTCGGAAGCAGGTGGCCCCCTCCTGGGCGAAATCCTGGGTACGTGCCTGATTGAGCTGCGATACAACCTTCCGTGATGAGACGACGAAAGTTCTGAGCAGGTGTGAGCCCATTCTTCTGGAGAGAGCTCTCACGGGCCGCGCACGGGTCTGAGTCAGCGTCATTGGCGTGACGGAGCCGCGAGCCCGCCGAGGTCGTGACCCACTGTTACCGCCACCGGACTGTTACGCCATCCGCTTCGTCTCATTCCTGGGATATAATCCGGCATCACCTCCGTGATTAGGAACTGCTCCACAATTAAACAGATCACGAAGCTCGAAATTGGGTGTAATGTTTTATTGAATGGGCGCGTAATATTCCAGGGAATTTGTGTTGCCCCTCCCTTCGTCGTTTTCACCTGACCTGACCGCCAAGCGGGATCAGCCGGTGCTGCTCAGCTGAATTGGAAACCAAATTGTCCTTTCTCATCCCAGTCTACACACCAACGAGAAGTGCACTACCACTCAGTAACTAAGGGAAAACGACTCTGTAACTCACACCCGGGGTCTCCTTGGCAACGGCCAAACTGACACCCGGCACGATCCACCAGAACATAAGGCACTTTCATTACAGCAACAATGTATGTTGGAAATCGCACTTGTGTGGTGACATTATCAGGCGGTTCTCGCGAACATGATACTAATAGAACCACTTACCACCACTAGCGCGCTGTGTGCGCCTGGCCCAGTATGACTGCCTACACCCACACCCACCGACATCTGAGCTAATGGCACAGGTGTCATCCTTTTCTGCTGCACAGATCTTATCTGTTTCTGCTATCATTATTCCTCGCTCGGCTCGGCGACTGTCCCGGCCTGTGTCTTCTGTTTGCCTGTAACTATGTGCCTGCTGTAGGCTTTGCGGGGTTTGTTACCTGTCGTCGCACCTTTGCACTTACACTGTGCTTTCTCATACTTATCCTCTTACTAAGCACTTCCCTCGCACCTGACCCATGTCTCTTTGTGTCGGCAGGCGAGCGGCTCAGTCCGTACGTGCGTCACCACGAGCGGCTCGACTACGGCCGGGCGGCGGTGGAAGCGCGCCACCAGCGGGTGCGACGCGCCACCAACGCCGCCGCCGCGCCGCCGCTGACGCTCGAGTTCGAGGCGCTGCAGCGGCCGTTCCGGCTGCGGTTACGGCGAGAGGCGCGCGTGTTCTCGGCGGACGCCGTGCTCGTGGGTCCGTCGGGACGCTACGAGCCGCTGCAGACGGACCACATCTACGAGGGCCACCTCGAGGGTGAGATGGTGACCCGAGGAGTGCGACTCTAGAGGGGGATGAGCAATGAGCATGGTGTGTGTGTGTGGGGGGGGGGGGGGCGAGACATCGGGCATAACCCCAGGGACTGGGAAAGTTGGATGGCGATGTGAGATAACGTCTAACTTAAATGTCGCTGAACTCATCGCATTTCTTGAGGGCAGTGATTATAGTCTTCTTAACGCCATCGCGAAGCAATACAGTTTCGAAGATATCATAACAAGGCTAGTTATGTAATCGTACTCCTATACTGACCGCAATTCATGACTCTTGAGTGTCTCAGTTATGCATCAGGTAAAACAACTGCGCAACAATGCTGTCCGGTACTGCAAACTTACAAAAGTGGCCGCATTATCAGTATCACGAAACTATTTGAAGGCGTCGGCACGCGATGGCTTGTGTCCTGTTGTGCTTGCGGGCTGGCCTGGCGCCTCTGGGTTGGATGGGCTCTGGAGCTCCATAACCTTTGAAGTGGCCTGGTGGCCGCTATGACCGTCGCCTGACTGCGTTTCTGTCCCTTTTCAGGTGTTCCAAACAGTTTTGTGCACGGCTCAGTGCACGACGGAGTGTTCCAGGGCAAAATCGAGACGCCAGATGGGAATTATTACGTGGAGAAGGCGCATCACTACTATCCTCATAACCACTCATCGTCATTTCATTCTGTGATATACTCAGAAGAGCATATAGAGGACCCGTTCCAGCACTTGGAGCGAGGTAGAGGTGAGTCTTTTATACCGGATACGTTATCAGGAACGCGGGCGGATAGAGAGAATAGATTCATCCGTCTCTGAAGTCACTAAAGTAGCTGCTATAGTTTGACAATTTGCGTCGCCTTTGTACGTGTTTTGACATCAGCCTGGGACTAGTTAAAAAAACATCCGCGATCTTCAGTAGGAAACTCGTCAGCACTGCCATCGTTCCTCTTTGATCCATCTCTGTACCCGATAATGAGCACATACTATTCACCAGCCGCCCCTCTCATCAGCTCCCGGCCTAATGAAGCTCCGTTACCTCACGCAGGTCCGTTCGGCGGCTGCGGCGTCGATGGTGACGTGTCTGAATGGATGCACAAAGTACAAAACTCGGCCATCGACGACGACGAGACAGAGTTTCGGGCGGCGGCAGAGGAGCGCGAGCACCGGCGGCGGGAGCGCGAGCGGCCGAGCGCCGCCCGACGCGTGGCGCACGACGCCAGGCACTACAAATACACGGAGGTGAGCGGACGGGTAGCGAGGACGGAGGGGGGGGGGGGCAGTGCTCGGGGGTTTGGTTAGCAGGCTGGTGGGGAAACCGGGGAGTGGAGGGGTTACACGGAGAGAACTGAGCGCCGGCGTGGCGAACAGATGAACAGAATATGGCAGGTGTTGCTTTGGGAAGCCATCTTCAAACGCGATTTGTTATGTGAATCACTGCAGCTGGGGTTTGGTATTAGCGTTATGGTCCATGTATCTTGCAAGCACGTGAGACATTGTGCCCGCGGTACTGCTGGCGCTACCCAATTTATCGAGGTGAAGGTTATCGCGGACGGTCAGAATGGCAGAACCACCGCTCTCATTGTCGGCTGCCGCTGACATTTGCATTGTACCGTCTCTGTGCATTAAACACGAACGTCCCCATCGACACGGCTATAGCAGTTGCTGGGCCCTAAAATGCGGCCCCAAATAAACACTGTCACGGAGCAGCGTCGGCCAGTGAGCTGGCGACCGGGATGACCAAATACTGGACAGTGGGCAGCCCCGAGGGTGACTCATGCGCCAGAGACACTGTCGACTCGGTTGGGTCATACACTGCGGTGGAATGGTCGCAACCGTCATGTTTGGGGTGTCAAGATTAGTTATTGTTTTTTTTTGTCATAAATTCATCCGTCGTGTTGAGACGACTGTTTCGATTTTTTTGTCCCTGAATGTGAATTAGACTTTGTTCATGAATGCGAATTAGACAAGGTCACCTGTCCATTCCACTCTTAAGAATTATCGGCACCATTGCTACATTGTGTTTGGTTTATTGTGTTCAGTCAAGTATGAGCGTGCAACAGGCAGCATTGCAAACGTGGGAAAAGCCAGCTGCTCTTTGTCTCGGCGTCTTTGGAATCCAGCGTGTATTGGCGCTGAGGTTCGCCTCCGAATGTTCGTCTTTGCTTGTCCTTCTGCCCGGTTGAGTTCAGTGTCGATTATCTCTGACATATTCCGTTTATAAGAGACTCATCAGAGACACTCCTTCCCCTGCACGGTTGCCAGTTACCACCGTCCCACCCCATCAGCTGACCCCATCGCCGCCCGCAGGAGGCGCAGCGCCACCTGGACGCCGGCCGGTCGCGGTCTCGCCGGGCTCCCCGCCAGGGCGGCGCCACTAGTCACCTGCCCGACAGCCGAGGCACTTGCAGTCTGTCGGTGGAGACAGACCCTATGCTGTGGCGGCATGTGTTCGAGAAGGAGGGTGGAGACGACCGGCGCACTCGCGAGGAACTCACGTCCATGGTGGCGTCACACGTCAAGGCCGTCAACCGCGTGTACGACAAGGAGCAGTTTGACGGCAGTTACGCCCACCGGGGAATACAGTTCGAGGTGCAGCGACTCAAGGTAGGAGAGTCGAGCACTACAGCGGGAGTGGTGATGATGGGGTGGATAGGGTGACAGGGAGGGTATTGGTGGCATTAGTGTGTAGCTGGTGTTGGTGGGAGTGGGCAGAGTAGGATGAAAAGTGGATGCATTGTGCCGCTAAGTCGTTACACGTTAGAGTCCGGTTTTATTGAGCAATAAATTAGTACTCAGTGTGCCTAGCTGTTGGTGAAGGGCTACGCTCGTGACAACGAGCGTGGTGCCATCTGTAGTGTACCCGATTGAGCTATGTTGATGGAAACGGCTGACAGCGACATTGCTTTACCCCGTCCGCTTTAATATTGATGACACCTCTGGGATATTACTAGCCAAGATTACTTTACTAATGATTGCTAGCGGCACATGTCATGATATGCGGGTCTCTCGTAGATCACCACGCATGAATTTTCTCAACTTTGTGCCGTTCTTCTCAGATTGATGACGACAGCACATGTCGACCATCGTATCGCGGCCGGGACCGAAACAAGTTCTGTGTTCCTAACGTGGACGTGTCCAACTTCCTGAACCTTCACTCGGAGGACGACCACGACGCCTTCTGCCTGTCCTACGTGTTCACCTACCGCGACTTCAACAAGGGCACCCTGGGCCTGGCCTGGGTGGCCTCGCCCGCAGGTCAGTGGCGCTCAACAGGGAAGGGTCGTGGATGGCTGGCTACCAGGGAAGGTCGGAATAAAATAAATGAAACAACACTGCACTTGTTTCCTTTTAGGTTACTGTATGCTTTGAACAGGCAGTAACTACTTGCACAAAACTTTGATTATTTCCTATTGTAATTTCATCTCCTGTTGTGCATTGCGATTGACAGTCTCTTTTTCTCGTTTGTTTTTTTCTTCCGAAATTGACCCGCCTTTCTCCATCGTCTCGCGACTAACTGGCGACTCTGATTGGTGCCCTCGACAGGTGCGTCGGGCGGCATCTGTGAGCGTTACAAACCGTTCGCGGACAACATCGGCGGCTCCCAGCGCACCAACAAGCGCTCCCTGAACACTGGCATCATCACGTTCGTCAACTACCACTCGCGGGTGCCGCCGCGCGTCTCGCAGCTGACCCTGGCGCACGAGATCGGCCACAACATGGGCTCACCACACGACTGGCCGAGCGACTGCACACCCGGCGGGCCGAACGGGAACTACATCATGTTCGCCAGCGCCACCAGTGGCGACCTGCCCAACAACAGCAAGTTCTCCGAGTGCAGCCGGCGGAATATCAGCTCCGTGCTGGACGCCATATCGTCGGGAAAGAAACGCGACTGCTTTACGAGTGAGTACCGCGATCGTTTTAGTGGTTTGGCGTCCTATTTGTCGTGCGGAGTGGGAGCTGGGGTGGGGAGAGGGAGACACCTTTAGACGCCAGAGGCTTTGTTATGGAGTTCTGGAACTCAGTATGCCCCGTCAGACCGATTGTCAACGTTTAGACAAGCACGCTGACATTGGCACGACAGCTGCGCGAAATTAAAGTTACGTGGCGTGCGCGATAACGGGTTACAGAGCGATCAACGCCTGACAAGCCGCTTCAGACGGCTATTTCTGTTGTGAATCCGGCTGTAATGCCGGACTTATGTCGGGCTCGAATCCGCCGTTCTTAGATCCCGGGTGTATCTGATCGCCGGGGGCTGAGGCGCCACCTGAATAGTTGATGTTTGATGAGTAGACCGTCATCGGGGCTGCGGCGCGGATCAAAGCCATCGGCAGAGGCGTCGCTCGTCAATGACCCTCTGTGCCAGCAGGCCGCGGGCCGGCCGGTGGCGCGGATCGTCCGCGAGTAGTGGCCGATTGAGGCGTCCGTCTGCGGCCCTCTGCAGGCTTCCGGCCCTCTGTTGACACTGTGCTCACACTTTCAAACCGATTGGCCAGCCCTCCTTGAAAAGACGATACCGGGAATTCTGCCGCCGGGCGCTAGCCTTAGAACGTTTGGTGGGGTTTCTAGTTCAATGTGAGTCGTTCAAACCCCTGGGGCACTTATAAGACTTACCTCGGCGCCACGGCATTTGTGGTATGGCTTGTTTTGATAATTTTCGCTCGACGATAGAAAAGGCCTAATCTGAGTCAAAATTAGTTGGCCTGCGGGTACTTTCCAAGCGGATCAAAATACATCTTGGAAGGGTTTATGTAAAGCGTAATGTTATATAATCCAGGTCAACCTGAAATGTTCAAGTTAACCCTCTCGTCGTTTTTCTATCGAACATCACAAAAGTTGTGCTGGATAACTGAACTGTTTTGTTTTTAGAAGTAGAAGTTGAACAACGTTACATAAATGCTGACGTAATATTTCTGTAAACAGTGTGGTAAACAAGCGATGTTCACAGCAGCGTATAGTCAGTGGGCATATTTTCCAACATCTTACAATGGGAAGATAGCATGTAGGATATTGCACTATATGCTGCCATATTCACTACTCTCCTAGGAGGTGATGCATGCCTCTCGCTCTCCGAAGGCTGTGCCAGAGTCACACCACCAGGGAGGTTACGTCACAATGACGTCATCCTGCTGCTCTGCCGCTAATGCAGCGTGACAAGTTGGAAACGGGAGTGCTGGCGGGTGGCTCCCTGCGGGACGGAGTCGGGACGGAGGCTCGGCCGGCGGCGGACAGTGACCCGTGCTCAGGCACCGGTTGATCTGCCGCGGGCTAGCTACGAACGTCTGGTCGACCGCGAGAGCTGAGAGCTGTCCATCCCCTGTTCTTCCTCCTGGCTAGGCATTTGGCGAATTGTATTCGCCATCACGTCAGACTCATGCACTTATCCACTGTTTTCATTCCCGCAGCCTCACTGCAGCTCATTCATTCAACATACCAGAGTGAAAGTGGTCTGATGGGGGTGAATGGCTCCGGACCTTCCGGACTGATGGGATGTCACTGCCACTCGGCGGAACCATATATAGACCTGTCGTCGGCCGGTGACCGCGCGGCACTGACCTTTCCCTGTCCCTGTCATAGGTCTCCATCAGGGCTGATCTGTGCCGTGCCGTCTGTTTGTCTGATAACAGACCGGGTGCCGGGGCGACCCGGCCACGGCTGGCATCTGACTGGGTTGGTGACGGCAATTAGTGTCACGGCCCGTCCTATCCTTTGGTGATGACTGAGTGGTTATGCTGGTAATGGTGCACCCGGTAATAGGAAGAATGTGATTGTGCTCAACGTGTCTCAACATTTACTTTTCTATTGCTACTCAACATAGGGAGAATGTTGTGACGGCTGAGACAGGGCGGTAGGGTTTGACCGCGGCTGATGCGAGTCAGGATCGGACTGCGGACCGACGACGCTGTGGTAGAGCATGCTGTCGCTGTGGCGACCAGACGCAGTGATCTCCAGTCCATCATGGTTGCATGATCGCCGACCAACTCTCATAGCCAGCTGAGCTGAATGCTGTGGCATTGGATGGTCCGACATCAAGGAAAATCGCTCATCGCCGGCGACAGGCGGCGGCGGCATCGTCTCCGACTTTGTATTCGGGAGGGGCGTCTCCGTTTGGCGTCGGTGAGCGACCTCGGTCTGACCGCCGGACTGTGAGCGTTACTCCGCTGCCCGCGGCGTCCCGGGCCGCCGGTAACAGGGTTAACGCTGCACTGCGCGTCGGCAGGGCGGGGCCGGCCGCGTCCCCCGCCGCGCCGTAACGTGGTTATCGCTGTGACAGACAGACACAGACAGGCAGAGAGCCGGACAGACTGAGTGGGCCGGCCGACGGGCCCGGCCCGCCCCGGGCGTGTTAGGCGTTCACCCTTAAATCTCTCTCTCTCTCTCTCTCTCTCTCTCTCTCTCTCTCTCTCTCTCTCTCTCTCTCTCTCTCTCTCTCTCTCTCTCTCTCTCTCTCTCTCTCTCTCTCTCTCTCTCTCTCTCTCTCTCTCTCTCTCTCTCTCTCTCTCTCTCTCTCTCTTTGTCTCTCTCTCCCTCTCCCTCTCCCTTTTCCTCTCCCTCTCCCTGACTCCCCCTTTCCTCTCTCCATCCTCTGCAGCCTGCCTAGCCTCGAACTCCTGTGTGTCTCCACCGGTCTAACGACGTAGCGTTTATGACCCGCCCGGGTCCAGTTGGAGCTCAGCCACATCGCATCTCATTCCACAGCGGCGGGATGTTTGTGTTTGAATGTGTGGCCCCGTCTGATTGCAACGGCCCCTCGGTGACGCACTTTGCACCCAGGCCACTGGGAATAGAGGTCAAACTGAACTGCAGTATCAGATCAGTTTTCGGGCTTGGTTTGAAATCGAATGGTCCTCTAGAGGTTTCGACGGATGAACTGCGTTATGTGGGTTGACAAAGTGTTTTATTGGGTGTTCAGTAGGCATACCTTTGCACATCTCCACCTCTTTGTATAATGTGACGTCGTTGAGCCCTGGCCTCGTGTCTGATTTTCGGTGTGGGCGCCCGGCCACATTTTCCAGTCGAATGTCGCCCGTGCCGGCGTCGGCGACCACTCTTCTCGGCGGTGTTTTATAGGGTGGTCGGTGGTAGCGGCCTCTCCCAATCAGGAGCGCCAGATTGGACGCGTCTGTATTGACACGGCTGGCTCGCGGAGCAGGCCGGACGGGTGTGCCGTGAGGTGGGGCTCTCTAGCAGTGGTCGCATCTCGCGATAAAGTTTGGACACGAACAGTGTTCCAATATTGAATTTAATCTTTAATTGATTTGTCCAGCACTAGTTCTCGATCTTCAATTTTTGTGTTAAATTATGCGTGATATCAATCACCAACTGCAATCCATGAATCCTAAGTTTTACTGCTGTTGATGACGGAAGTAGACGTTTCATAGAACTGGAAATAGGTACCCTGGGTAATATTTTATTTTGTATTGGCCTACTTATCCCGTATGCTGCTTCTATTGTTAAACAGGTGTCCTTTTCATAATTTTTATATGCATCGGGCAATTACCGACATAGTCCAAGTCATGTAGTAATACGATATATGTAGAAATAGCTCTCGGTGGGAAAAGCTCTGATTACGCGCATTCCTCTGATGAACATTCACGATACCGATGACGGTGTCTTGTCCTGATCCTCTCTCAGGAAGAAACGCGCCTTCAATCCGGCCATTGTGTAATGCATCCCCAATGTCGGCGCCACAGTCAGCGGCGCCAGCCCGGTCCCGACTGCATTAGACCCCGTCCTGCAGCTCGGCTTTCTTCTGTGGTCGATCTAATACCAACATATAGAGGACAGGCGACAGTCCGGATTGAATAATTGTAGCGGATCTGGCCCGTTTGCTGCCCTGATGATTCACAAAAAGTGACACGATACGATGGCGGTTGCATATTCACAAAAAAATTGAACAATTTCATCTTATCTTGTGGTGAACTAATTTTTGGTACTTGTAATAGACACCCTGATGAAAAGATATAGCAATAAATGTCAAAAGCAATTTAATTCATTTCAATGCATTTTGATGAGTTGTTCAGTTGGCGCTAGCTCATTAATTATGAAACATAATTACGCTCTCACGAATTTGCAAATGTCATTTACATCTGTTGACATATCTTCATTCCACTCGTTGGTGTGCTATAAGCTTAACATATTGGAGCAACGTAACTACCTAATTAAGGAAACGCGGAGTGGCGAATTAAAGTGAGCATATCATGCATATGGTGGGGTGACTATCAATCATCAAAACATGGTTCGTGGCAAATGTGCATACCTATACGGTATGCATACAAAGGAGCGCTCATTGACATGCTTTTAGCCTGGTAGTTGGGTTTAACAAGTCGGAAGCTTATTATTTTGATGAAAATTTTTGCGCCTTTATATCCCATCCATCGCTCATCGAAATCTTCACGATGCCTGCAATGCTGATCATTGATCAATATATCGCAGCTTCCATTCCGATTTCCGAACCACAAGACCATTAGGTACAATTAGGTACCGAAACCGAACCGTTAGTCATATATGTAGTAAAACACACAAAAGTTTCAGTGAACGCATCGTGGTACTGTTGCAGAGAAATCGGTAGCGAATAATCGAGTGCGGAGTGACCCTCACCTCACTAACCACGCCGCGACAATTCATTCCGTCCTCGCTCCCATCTCCGTCGAGATTTGGTCGGAGCGGAGGGTAGGCTGTTCCGCACGGCAGCTCTGCGCTGCGGTACAGCCTACCTTCCCGTTACTCGGCCGCGCCGCTACTCTGCTGCCAGCGCCGAGTCCGATGTAAGTGACAATCTAAGTGGGGCGTACTTACTACCTACCCGCCTACTTACGACTTGGCTGCAAGGGTCTTGCAAAGACCCATTTTTATGCCACCTTTGCTTGTTTCGGGTTTCATTTTCCAGGTGGTTTTTATAG